CGCTGCTGGGCTGCGCTTCGAGACGCCGCATTGCATATCCCGATCTTCAGACGCTTGCCATGAGAAAACAGTGCAGTATGTGAACCAATACAAATCGAAAGGCGGTTATGCATATTCTGATTAAAGCTCCGAGGCGCTACTGCATGTGCTGATGGCCACTAACAGAGCGCCTCTCAGTTGGCCAAAAGCGAAACAGAGCTTCTAGCCAGTTACCGAGGTGGGTATTTAGAGCACTTTGCGGGGCATCCACAGCGGGAAAATTCACACCCCGCTGTGAGGCTTGCACTTGGACGCTGAGATAGCGGTTAAACTAAGACAATGAGGAGCAGAGACAGTTCAGGTGGTGGATGCGGACTCAAGCAGTCAGGTTACAGCCATTGGTATCCCCTACTGAAAGCACAGTATCGTTGACGCATAATACAAGTCATAATTTACAACGCCAAAAGGGGTTCGCTCTCTTTTCCTGCCTGAGATGTTTCTTTCCTTTTCCCCAAGACAAATTGCTCCTTCCGCGTCTGCCGTCCTTTGCTTGGGTATCATCCATCTCTACGAATGGGCAAGTGCAACTGATGAATGAAACGCTGCGCCACCATATTAGAACATGTTAAGAATCAGGGGCATCGATGGCCCGGACCCGTTAACGTCCCGCACAGGCTTCTGCAGGTACAGGCACCATATCCGCCAATCGCGCAGCAGCGCTTGGTTGGATGCCCTGGCGGTTGCCAATTGGCCGTTTTGGCATTTTTGGGCGAGCCACTAAAGGTGCTGGATCAAGGTATAAGGCACTTGCTTTTGTTCTTGTTCGGATTTCTTCCTGAATGGGAGCATCGTGGTCCGGTGCTGCTTCCCCAGACCGCCACCGCAAGCCACCGACGGTTGGTCGCGACAGATGGAAGGTGCCAAGGCATCTTCGCTTGCAGTCAGACCGTTACCGACCTCGCTACTGGGAAAATAACGTGCTCGTCCTTTAAGGTAATCTAGTGGGCCACTTCTTAACAACAGCAAAGCGATGCTGGTAATTACTATGCAACGATTCCATTATCAAGAATGGGGAATGTTTCTCGACTCATCCTAAAAATAACATCGCCATGTGATTAACCCTCGCACTTGTTCCTCTCCATGGATCTACAGCAGGCCTCCGAAGAAACCACGATTGAGTAAACCCTACACCTTGAGCATGTCAATAATTATGGTTCAACCACGGGTTGCTACGTCAAAAGAGATTGCAACACCAAGGGACTTGGTCTATTTCCCCTTTTGCAGCACCTCGCCAATTGATAGGAGAACGGAGATATTGTAGAGCCAGTCCACAAATCCACCGTTTCCACCGGACTTGACCGGGATGCGAATCACGGAAGCAGGCCATCTATAACGGACAGGGTTCGTGGGATAAATGATCATGGATCTGGCTAACACGGCCAAACGCTGGCTTGGCCTGACTGATGGCCTGACTGATTGATTCAGTTGCCTTGCTTGTACACCATCTCAGGGCCTCATTTGCTGTGATAGGTCTGAACAAGATGAAAGCTCCCAATTCGCAGCATTCACTGTTCTGATCGGATCATTGGTCTTCCTTGTGGCTAGGCTATCCCCAAGCCTGGGACTTTATTACTGGTTGCTTGTTGATGGACTACGAAACATGGCGCTTGCTTATCACTCAAAATATATGCATAAGAATCACAATAGGGTAAGAAAATGTGTCATGGACAGCATTGGCTCTCTGCGATCCCTTTCATCATGCCGAAGCTGGCCAGAATTACCAACGCCGAATGGTCTCGTGGCTACCCAGCTTCCGTCTCTATCTTTAGGACGGGTGTTCATTTTTAGCACCGAGCGCCACCACCCGTCCAGTAGCATGGCGAGACAGACCCCGGGCGCGCGTGTTTGACGCCAAGGAGTCTCAGGAACAGGCCGCCCTAGTCTGTTTCAACATCAGGACAGCCAATCATCAATTACTGAGCTACAGATCTGAGACGACACCGATGCCTTCCAGCCCTATTACCCATTGAGTTTTTTCCCATTCACAACCTTACCAGACTGGGGGAGGAAAGAAAACTCAGAACCTTGATCCTAAGCGACAGAAATACTTAGGTAAATCTAGCCTAAGTTTAGGGGGCACTTTGCTAAGTTTATTTTGACCTCCTATATTAAGGTCCAGTGTTTTCTTGCTCCCTGAGGGCAGATCCTATTCTGGACCTGGAAGCATCCTAAAAGAGAGGTCGCAAGGGAAGAGCGTCTAACCAGGACTCTCGGGTGAAAATATTGCGATCCTACCCGTACGGTGTTTCCCAAGTCCGGAACGATCGGCAAATGCTTGTTTGTTTTAACAATCATGAAGTCCCGGGTAGGTTTTGGCGATACAGGAAAGGAATCGCCGGCAACTGAAATCAAAGCCAAACAACATCCAAACACGATGCGATTCATTGGAATAGTTGATAATCAGGGTCTCATCGGGATGTCTTCAACAGCCAACTGAATCTTATACAAGTTCCGTTGCAATATTCTGTCCCGGATAGAGCTCTAACGATCGTAATTGCTGTTTGCTCTTACAGCCTCAAGGTTTGAGTTACCAACCTTGAAACTATGCTTACTTGGCTAACACCAAATCGGGAAGTGCACGGATTGTTTCATTCAAAAGACTGAATGACGAAAAGGGCAGCTTGAACAACCAGTCGCAACATATGATAACTCTGTCCTTCACCCGAACCCCCAGTCTGTATCCAACCTTAGTCTATAACGACAAATTTGGTCTCCCTGGACCACACAGATTGATAGCTTCCTATGCCGTCGAAATTGCGAATTAGTCATGGCTTGTGAACAATCTTTTGTCGATTCAGACTTGTTCAAATGACTAGCAGCAATCGCTTACAGGATTTCGACCGCATATTCCACCAACTTCCAAGCACTTGAGATCAACGGCACTATTGATGAAAGCTCCCAGTGGCTTGCTCACGTCATGGATAAATTAGCCTCCGCGCGCTATCAATCGACACTGACGGGCCCCAATCCAACGCCTAACTTAGTCTTCAGCTAAATTATTTCTCCGTGGTGGTATTCCTGCCACAAAAAAACAACCAAAAAAACGAGAAACGATCTCCCATGTTCACAAAGGCGAAATACGATATTCCAAAAATTGGCTAAAGAGATAAGCAGCTCAAGATCTTTATGAGGCTGCTGTGCTGGTACTCCGGACAAAATTGAGAAGACTATATCGGTAATCTTGACGATGTATCATCGCCGTTGTCGTTTCGTTTTCAACCCGGGGTTGTCATTTTGTCGATAGCCTGGCTAGCCTGTTCTGTATGCCACGTTCAGTCGCCTAAAGCCCAGGCTCGCGGATTAAGGTCGAACCATCATAGAATGTAACGATGCCCTGAAGACTCCTGGAGCCAGAACGATGCAGCGTTACAACGCGTGTTCTTGGGCCGGACAGGGGAGATCCCGGCCGAGACTAGCTCGATTGTCCTGCCAGGTTCGACTTAGCGCTTTCTCTTCTTGTCGTTCCGTGTTTCGAGTTACGGCCGTGGTGGCTTTGGATGAAACTTGCGATCTGCCAGGCACTACTCCGTACACAAGCGGTAATAGTTGTATTTTGCTTTTGAACGTTGAGGTGACATGGTTCCTTGCTTTTTTAGTAACGTCAATTAACTGTCACCAATAGCCAGAAACGACCTTGAGAGCGGACTGGGTGTGCTTACGCGGTCGTATGTTTTTACGATAATGTGTTCCTGTTGTCTCCCGCAGTAAATGAGATGAAATTATGCTCAGGCTAGTTCTGCTGCAACATGCTGATCGTCAGTCACCTCATCTTCGATCGATTAGACCATAAATTTATTGTTGAGGGAGATCACCTTGCACGAAATGACTCCACTGATCATCATATCCAAGCGTCATTCTTTATCCTCCGGGCGTTTCATGGACTGTCTACAGCTTACACGGATCAGAGCTGACTCGCCTTACAGCAGCTCGGTCCAGCCAAGAGAAAAAGACCACCCATCACATTAGCATCGAGCAGAGTCCTGGCCTAGCTGGCATGTGTGTTTGCTGTTACATTTCAGTTGGTTCACTTGTCAGTTTCCTTGCAAGCACTTGCATGGGTATGGCGGTAGCTTTACAACCTCTCAGGGGAACCAAAGGTTTCTATGACAATTCACATCCGCCAACCCTGATTGAGCTCACAAGACCCAACAAGGGTTCAGGCTTGCGAGCGTACTCCGTCCTGTACCTGCATTTATCTTCCGAGTTCCGTCCATTTGAGGATCGGACTGATGCCGCATCGGGTTGTGCCAACCTGAACTTGACCGATTCCGTTTCCACTTCGGGGAGCTAGGAGGTGGCTGTGAAGTTTGGAAGTTTCCATTATTTCCCTGCGTTTCTTTCGAGCTGAGTGGTGGAATTCTTCCCGGGTTCCTTCAACCTGGTCGTTCTTCCGGTCGACAACGGGGTTAAGCAATCACAGGCTGGAAGTTTTACCGCGAACTGAGAGGTTCCGACAGGATCCGCGTATTGCCAAGTCACTAGACAATTGTGATAGGTAAAGTGACCAAAATCTGTCGAGAGTGAAAGCAAAGGCTTTGCAAAAGCAAACAGGGCCTTTCATGTGATAACCAGTGATTATTCTAAGAATCGACGGGGGCCAGTTTCACCATGGGAGCCACTTGAGCACAAAATCCCATATTATAGACTTTCTCAAAGAGGTGAGCATTTAGAATGCGCATTGGCCATTTTATATTCGAAACGGCGATGTCGAAGCTGGAAAAAGTCAAACACTGGCTTGCCAGCTTGGAAGGGATGTAGGAAGAACTTTCACCTGACCTTTCACTTGCCTTGGAGAGGTATCTGGCAAGAGAAACGTGCTAGATACTGGACATTGACCTTCCAATGAATCCGATGTCTAGCAAATCACGGCTGTCATGGTCTATATACCACTAACAATGAGAGCTCAACCAGCATCGGAACTATCAAACTCGTTTTCTTGAGTTCAGCTTGTCAGGTTCCTTTTAGTCCAAGGGTTTACGCTCCCAAGCTTTCTTCGCAAGAGGTAGAGCCCACTTACTCATCCACTCCGATCGCAGAAGCTGTTCAGCTGTCATACGCTCTTCTGGTCTGAAGCGTAGCATCCCTTTGATCAGATCTAAAAAGGCACGGCACTCCTCATCATCCAACCTTTCCGCCTTCTTCCCTCTCTGTATATCCAGATCAAATCGCTTCTGGAGCGGCCACGTCTCTACCCCCCCCTTTCGCTGTCCGTCCTCAGTAAATACGGCTGTTCTTGTCTCCCATTTCTCCCACCACTCGTGGGGCAAGGGACCGAGCGCGTCGACCTGGTCAGCAATCACCTCGTCCTCATCAAAGAGAAAGCCGCCCATGAATGGCCCGGAACCCATGCACTCCCAGACCATAAGTCCCAGGCTCCAGATATCAGAGGAAAATGTTAAAGGCCTCGTAGAATCAAGCACTGCCTCTGGTGGTCGATTCTGCAAATGCGTGTAAGACAGCAGTCTCGTCTCCTGCGAAGGATTGAAGGCTGTTCCGAAATCGGAGAGCCACAGCCTGGCTTCGGGCAATACAACCTCGTCGCTGGGTTTACCGAGCCAGTTTGGCGTATATAAATTCTTTGGCACTGACGGTGAGGTGACCGGCTGACCATCGGTCCTAGTCACTGGGTAAGGGTCTGGTTTATAGTATTTCTCATACACCTGCTGGATGGAGAGATGATCGAGCTCTGATCCAGGCAATTGGAGCAACACGTTTCCTAGGTGGATATCTAGATATCATCAGATGATGCCTAAGTAGCTAGAGCACCCAGGATAGGTACTCACCGCCATGAACGAAGCCGGCCTGGTGGACGTAGGCCGTTGCCATGATGAGCTGTGCGGACAGCGCCCTGGCCACATCAGGTTGAAAGGATATTTGTCTGGATGTCTTGATTGCTTCGGCCACGCTGCATCTGGCGGGTGCAGTGACAATGCAAGAGTGTGTGCCGTTTGGTCCATGAAGTGTGAAATGATCAAGTATTTGAGTGATGAGACGACTAGAGAACTGGTTGGTCGGATTTTCGGCCAGTTGGAGGAGAATGTCGCTCTCTTTCGAAACTTGATCAGCAGTGCCAACTTTGATAGCAACATACTTGTTGAGCTCTTGGTCGCGGGCAAGCCAAATGGTCGAATAGCCACCTTGGCCCAGCTTATCAACTATGTGATAACGCTGGTTTAGCTTGTCGTTGACATCGATGGGATGATACCCCCCAGGGCAGTATCTGTCGACGTATTCGACATTTCTGTAAAGCTGATAGGTTGGTGACTCTTCAGCTTGCGTGGATTTTGCTCTTCGACCAGAAACGCGATATTGGTAGCAACATCGTCTCAAAGACGTGCAGAAAGAGCCTCTAGTGGAGCTACAACACAAAATTCGATGAAATAGCGGCAGCATTTCGTATCCGCGGAATTCTAAGCGAATTTTGGGTTGGGCATAGGACGTCGTCAGTTGGACGGTGTCAGGACAAAGGTCAATCTGCTAACCTAGAGTGAGCACTTGGGTGCCCAGAATGATTGTTCAACAACACAGGCAAGCCCTGATGCTTTTGAGTTTGAAACACTATCTGAACAGACACCATAAAATTGTGGCTCTTTTTTACAGAACCAATAAATATAAGACTGTACGGGTTAGCATCAGGCATTTGGACAGTTTTGCAGCTAAAGTCAGTCTTATTAGGATAGTATATGTTCATACCCGTCACCTAGCATTGTGCATATGCTGCGCTGCGAACACGATCATCGTCACTCGGGACAAAGACCCAACTTGTGAACAAATAAGAATGAAGATGCATAAAAAGCCTCGATCCTCCTCCTTGACCAGAAATTGTGTGACATTGAGAGTTGCTCTCCAGCGACGACACAAGAAAACTAACCCACATAGCAATCCTCAGTATGGCACCAATCAGGACATGTAAACAGGTCCGTTTCAGGGATCAATATGAACGACCCAAGAACAAGGCCTCTCTTACTGAGATGGGAAAACCAGATGGCATCACCATTCTCACGAAAAAGGATGAAGTATGCCGTTTCATCACCGGCACCCTCTCTCGCTTTCTCAAACCACTTGAGATCCCCCCCAACACCCATCTCATTGAACATCGTCCTTGGAGTGCAGGAGGAATCTACACCATCTGCTCCGTCGAGCCTATTCTGCCCAACACAAGGTATGATATCGCCGTGCGTGTCATTATACACCATGAGATAGGATGGGTGCAGGTAATCTTCTCCATGGCGAGAGGTTTGCTTGACAGAGTCTCACTTCCGCCCGCACAATGGATTGAAGTGCCGAACATGGAGCTTGCCTTGAACAATGGTATGAAGGTGTGTGTTCAGATTGAAGACTCTATCTATGGACAGTTGTTGGCATCTTACCTCAAGGAGCTGGGCTTGCTTGAGTTGCAAGCGAATGGAACAACTGACATGGAAATGGAAAGTTCGCAATGATATTCTGGGAACGACCATAGAGAAAGGCTTGGTAAGGATATATATATATATGTTGGCGGAAGAAATCGCGACACTCGTACATAATGTAAGGGTTATTGGAGTTGGAAGTTACCGCATGGGCGGTGGAGTTAAACTAGAATGCAGTCATATATAAAGAAGGGATCTCAGCGGGTAACATCAATCAAATTCCTCATTTCGAAGTTAAGAACACTTCATGGTAACTATAGTCTTTCTTGACTGTGCTGAGTAACTGGGTTCACAAAATTGGCCAAAACTCCTAACCCTAACGAACTTTTGACATACGTCGACACGAATAGAACCAGGATGCAGTATGCAGTATGCAGTGACATTAGTCTATTCCGAGTATTGATCTATTGTACCACTCAAGCTTATCCACCCCCTTGCATCCTCCGTAACCTCTCTTCCGCAGCTCGTGCTCTCCTCTCACGCTCCAACCTCATCCTCATCTCAGGCGTCAAACCTCTCTCTTCAGCCTCCCTCCTCTCCTGTGGTGTCTTCTTGAGCCCCGCCGCCAAAGCATTTCCCTTCTGTTTTCGTCCTTCCGAAACCTTTGGACCTTCAACCTGTAATCGCTCCTCTTCAGCGCGCCGACGCTCAGCCTCCTTGTCACTGGCTTCCTTCTTTTCTCTCTCGTCACGCTTATCGGCTTCAGCCTTGGTCATGGCTGGCGGTACCTTTGCATCATCCCAGGACCATTTAGACTCTCCGAGCTCGGAGCGAGCGACCCGGAACGCATCCCGTGTTGAGCGTTCGCCAGCGAGTTCGAAAGGCGTCTTGCTATCATTGTTCTTTATTGTAGGATCTGCTCCACCGCGAACGAGAAGGCCAAGTACTAATGGTGCAGCGTTTTGAGCAGCGGCAAGATGGAGTGGTCGTGGTGCGTGGTGGTTTTGCTCTACAGGCTGAAATTCGAAATCGGCTGATACGTTGTTGTTCTTCAGGTATGAGAGTAGCGCAGGGACTTTCGACCTTCGCACAAACGCTTGGAGTTGAGAAGTGTGGAGTAAAGCCGTCTCTTCCTCTTCTGTCAACTTCGGTTTTGAGGGCTTTGTGCTCGTCTTTGTCGGAGTCGCTGACCCTGAGTCTTTTTTCTGTTCCTGCACAGGCTCGATCTCACGGACTTTTAGTCGCGTCAATTCGATGAAGGATCGCATAAGTTCATTCTGCGTCGCTCGCCGTGTGCTGAAGGGAAAGCCCCGAAGCCGAGTGTCATTATGCTTCAACACCTGTCCCTCGTAGGGGCCGAAGAGTGTTCTTCGATTTGTCATACCTGTTGCTCGGATGAACAACAACTCTGAGGTGTCGATAAGGGCTTTCCAGTCTTGGAGCAAGGTTCTCACATCCTCTACCAAAGCCTGTTCGTTATATCGTCGCAAACTCGAACCAGCCGAATGCGCAGCACCCTTCGCATTATCGTTGGCCGATTGAGAACCACCTTGCTTTCGTCGGGTTGTGTATCTATGGAAGGTCTTGTGAGCAAGCACCGTCGCTTCTCGATTCATGGTTGTGCCGTTCTTGTTGGGTCGTGGGGCGAGAGATACAACCATGGCCGCAAAGTGGCCACCTCCAATCATACAGAGAAAGATATGAGGACCCTTGTACGCGACCTCTGGTAAGGCGCCTTCCTTAGGAATCTTGGGCATGGATATAGGCTCAACCTGCTTCTTCTTCAACACCTCCACCAGATCCTGATTTCTTTGTTCTTCGCCCGTCAAGATTGCGCGGTACATGCCAAAGTAGGTCTTCTCTGGAAGCAGCGGAGAGCTAAACCATACCAGAGGTGGTTTACCGCGACCTGGCTTTCCTGCCGTTTCGTCCTCATCATCTACCGTCGAATCGTTTGCTTTATCAGCCAATCTCGCCTGCTTCTTCAACAGCGCAGTCAGTGTTGATTCTTGTCGACCATCTTCCTCGTCTTCTTCCGATTCGTCTGAATCCGAACCCGATAATGATTCGTCTAGGTTGCCAACGAGCTTCTCGAATTCTGTCTCTGACACGGGCTTTTGACCTCGCAATTTTTGCTTAAGATTGTAGTGGTGAAAGTCAGACTTGAGATGTCCCCGCTGGTCGATCACAGTTGTGAATGTGAGGCCACACAAAGAGCACGCTTGTGTTCCGACAAGATTCGTATCCGACGACGACGCGCTCTCAGAAGATTGTTTTGAGGATTCGGCGGCAGCGATAGCCTCGGCTTCGGCGTCTGTATCAGATTTGAGCACCAAAGTGTCCAAAACTTCGGCAGGCAGGTCATAGACTGGTTAACTCGTCAGTACCGACATCGAGACACGCTGATCCATGGCGGGGGAGGGGTATGAGATGGATACATACGATATAAGGGCCGCCGAAGAAGATCCTCGTTCGTCTTAGCCATGGCGACTGACGTACGTGGTTTCGTGCGTATAGAGAGCCTAGCGGGAGAATTGGAGTTGTACTGAACTGACGACTCTGTCGCGATATTTGAACTTTTTAACAGCCCAGCTGAGGCCAAGCGTCTGCGTCATAGCGATAGACTCTGCGCCCCACCAAAGCTTGAGTCAACCGGCCAGAAAAGGACCCCGCAAAGCCACAGAAATAGAGGCACCGCCTCAACCCTCACAGTGTGGTCACTGTTAGAAGTGGAGACATCTTCATGAGCTCTCTTGACAAGCTCCATCTCATTGGTCCAGAGCTCCCGTACTCATTAAGCTCTCCGCTAATGACACCCCTCCTCTACATATCCTCATCCCAAGCTCTCTCTCTCTCATGCAATTCTTCTTCAATCACATCAAACTATTCCTGCTGTGCAGTACCATTGTCCTCAATCTTTACCCCAGAACAATCAGACCCAACAATCAAGTGGAATTCACACTTCGCTGCAATTCTTTCGACAATCTTTGCTATTCTCCTCGTTGACTTCCCAAGTCTATTGCTCTCAAGCGTCACAATGGCTGCAGCCCTCGAATCTATTCTCAGCACTGTCTCCAAGATCGAACATGAGCTTGCTGCTCGCGAGGCCCTTGCGGCTGTTAACGACTCCAAGCTTGACACGGTCAAGAGTTCATTCAAGCACTTCTCCAAGACCAAATCTCAACTTGCTGGTAATGACCCGCAACGTCTGAAAGAGGTTATGCAGACTGAGCAACTCTTGCGTGCTGCTTGCCTTCCTAGAAGCCATCAGAGAGCCCATGCTGTCCAATTTCACGCCCAGGGACTGCCTAAAGAATTTATCGCTCGAAGGGTCAACTGGACTCAGCCTCTAACTCGTGCTGCGACTCGCGTCAAAGCTCGTCAAATATCCGACAAGCCCTTTTGCACCGACGCCCGACCTTCAGTCCCTACCATTGTTCAAGCCCGAGAGCTAGTCAAGTTCGTCAAGTCTTCTCCCCATGCCCGTCGCATGCCACTCTCTAAGATCGCTGCTACCCTCGGATTGGAAAGTTCAGATATTGCCATTCGTAATGCTCTCGGTCGTTACGGGTACAAGTTGTATCCGGCTGTTGTTCGACCTTACATTAACGAGGACACCCGAAAGCTCCGGCTTGAATTCGCTCTCACCCATGTCAATTGGACCATCGAGCAGTGGAACAAGGTTATCTTCACTGCAGAAGTCCGCATTCCCCTTACAGACGCACATGAACCCTTGGTCATTCGACAGTCAGAAGAGGAGTACCACCTTGACTGCATCAACGATGTGCCCGCCGAGCCCACTACCTGCAATGACAGTGAGCTGTTTTTTGCCCACTTCTCAGGTCTCACGGGCAAAGGCCCTCTCATTGCTTGGAGTCGCGATGCGGACAACAAATTCGGCCCCCTCAGTCCTGTGAATCACTACAAGGTCATCTTTCCAGGATTCTCCAAGTGGATTAACGATCAGCCTTCTGGATCTCGGTTTGCTATGCGTCCAGATATGTGTGCCCACGCTGCTGTTGCCGTCAAGGACGAGATGCGAGGGCGATTTATGCCCACTGAGCACTTCCCTCCTGCCTCACCCGACCTGAACCCCATCACCGAGATATTCAACTGGGTCAAGGCTAATCTCAAGGTTGACAAGGAACGCTCTCTTTACGGCGAGGTCGCCGAGTGGCGCATTCGACAAGTTGTGCGAGGCACCTGGAACAACATACCACAGGAGAATTTGAAAGCGCTCATTGAGAGCATGCCTCGCCGATGTCAAGCTGTCATCGACGCCAATGGGATGTATACCCGTGACTAGCGATAATAACCACGACCCATGAAACTACGATGAGATAAAAGAAACGCATTTATGCTGACGACCAAGGAAAGTCATGACGATACGACAACGAAAACGGCGATGACTGACGAGAGATTCCGGTTATGATTGGGCATCGATCGACAGGGTTGATGAAAGCGAGGCAAAGACTGAGTTTAGGTTTATGATACCCATATGTTTCAACAATGCTACACATTTATTCCAAGCATGCGTGCTGTGCATGTCCAACGATTATGTATTTCCTGTGATATCATCACCAGCACAAGGTTGGTCCAGCTGCGGTGTAGAGCAGCAAAGCTTACCCCGCACATCAGGGCTCCAGCTCGACGCTCCAGGCAGTTCATCGCCCTAAAACTTGGCACGCGAGCTTAAGCTTTATGCTACCGCCGCACCTTATCTTGGTCTGTCCATCCCTGTCGAGCTGTCCACCAATACATTTTGGTGTCAACGTCACTGCACATCATTTTCAGCTGCGAAAGTACAAATCCCCCGGTCTCACGTACATGCCCTTGTTTTTAGTTGCGTCAGTGGGTTCCTTGCCATACAGTGAATCAAGAATTGTTCCTTCCCCCGCCTGATGTGTAGTGTGACTAGTTGTATAAAAGGGAAGACCTCGTCCGCTTCTTGATCTTTCCATCTTCATACTCATCATCCTACAAACTACATACTACAACTTACAACTTTAAACTCCAAACTCAAGCTATCATCATGGATTTCGTCAAGAATCTCGCTGGTGGCAACAACAACGCCAACAACACCGAGGGCCAGCAAGCTCCTCCCGAGGCTGGCGGTAGCTTCATGGACAAGGTCAACGGAATGGCTGGCGGTGGCGCGCAGGGCGAGAAGAACGAGGATGGTCTTGACAAGGGTAATTATCCCCATTGACTTCCCAAGTATCTCCGTATTAACAACCGTTGCAGCCGTCGACTTTGTGCAGGAAAAGTTCCTCGGCGGAGGCGACCAGAGCAACGAGAACGCCGCTGAACAGGCCAAGGACGAGGCTATTTCCGATGCCATTCGCGACCAGTACAAGAGCGCCACAGGCAGCGATTTCCCCATCTCCGACAAGGACAAGAAATATGGAGCTTAAACTGGTGTCGAGGGTCACGCGAGCTCAGAGGCATGAGCAAAAACAAACAATGTACGATTAGATGACGACAGCACCTGAATGATCACGAACCCTATTATGTTCTAATGAGACAATCCCTTGCTTTTTGATGTGAATGCTACTTTAAGCTATCCCCTTTGTCAAGTTGCCTTTCCCTATTCACCATGGTGAGACATTGCCTTCCACTCATCACCTCGAGTCCATGCTGTCTTGATGCAGATCGCCACCAAAAAGTCTCACCAGCCAGCCACTGTACGCAGTCGGCATGAGGGCCATGTCCGAGTTGGAGGAACATCCCAATCCTCCGACTACCACGAATACCAGGCCTTTCAACCGCCCGACCTACTCCAGCATCTTCAACGATTTCATTCGCATGAAAACAACCGTCTGCAAATGATCAACTGCAAGAGGCAAGTTCTCGCTGGCAGCGAGGATTCGTGCTGTCTTGACGGCGCTCTTGATCTGTCGGCCATTCAGAGGCATGCTGGCCAGCTTCGCAATCGCATCGTTGTCTTCAGCCAACGCCTTGTCCTCTCTGATAAGAAAGTTGTACCATACCTTGGCTCGGGAGGCTGGCTCAAGATCCTGGAAGACAAATGAAAGGTCGATTCGTGACTCGAACGCGGGATCGATTGCAAGGTAGCGGTTCGTGGTGAGCATCATGATGCCCTTGTAGTATTCCAGGACGCGAAGGAAAACTAGGAAGCCATGTCAGACAGATTCACGAAAACCACAAGGAGTAACCTACTGGTAGTCATCTCGTTCTGTGTAAGATTGCTGCTGGTGCGCTTTTCAAGGAACACATCGGCTTCATCAAGTAATAGGATGGCATCCCAGCGGGCACAGCGATCAAGAGCAGTCTTGAGATTACTCTCCAGAGTCTTGGGATCCATCCCCAGGTCCGAAGTATCAACGCGGTAGAGAGGGCGCTTGAGATGTTCGGAGACTATGCTTCCATTAGCAAAGGGTCCATTGGTTGAAAACCACTGAAACGAACCAGATTCTGCAGTGAATGTCTTTCCCGTACCGGGGGGACCACACAAGAGCATGACAAGACCCTTTCCTGTGACCAATGTCAGTTCACGACTAACCATTGATGAGGAGAAGCAAACCCTTTCCATTGACAAAGTCGTCGAAATGCTGCAACTTTCCGTTATTTGCTGCACCTATAAATCCGACCAGGAGTCTCTTCTCTGCTTCATCGATGACGAGATTGTCAAAGGCGTGTGTGTTCCATTCAATGTCTCTGAGATCGTCGATCCGGGCCGTACCTAGCACAGGATCTTAGCATTTATGCATGAGTCTCTTCGTGTGTGTGAACTTACACCACGTCTTGTTTTCGATCGAGAAACACTTCACGGTTGAAACGGTCAACATAGCCTGCTCATCCGTGAGGCGCTTGGGATCCTCGACTTCTTCGTACTCCCAGTCGCTATCTTCCTGTGACTCTTGGTGGTCACTAGAAGTAGGGGCCTTGGAATATTGTCCGTTCCTGTACATTGCACTGCTGATTCGAAGACTGGACAGGGGGTCGGGGGAGCTACCCTGACGCCCATGTTGACCTGCCGCATCGACGATTACTCGTCCTGCGATCTATATTCCCTGTCAGTACAACAACTCCAAGCATATTTAGAAACCGTACCGCTTGAGTGGGGAGGCTTGGGATACTTGGGATGCTGGCTTGCCCCCAACCTGACTACTCGATTGTTAATATGTTTTTCTACATCAGAAGCTCACTGAGTTTCTTACTGCCTTAGCTTCACAATGAGTGTGCTCTTTCTTTAGAATACCGGGATAAAAGCGGTAATGAATGCCTCGTAGTGCTTCATACTTGCGGCCACGTTCGACGAGAGCAGCCTTCATGCTCTTGATGTCATCTTCTGAACAGGCCCATGCTGGTCGGACGCTGAGTTCGGAGATAGGCCGAATGTCGCCGAAGTAGGGCATAGAGAAGGTCGACTCGGCCGAGCGATACTCCTCTCCATCCTACTCAACTTGATCGACTGTAACTTCACCATACTTGTAAGACTGGCAAATGCCTGCGTCCATAGGAGAGCGGGAGTCAAAGAAGAGCTGACCAGGCTTGAAGACAAATTGAAGGTCACTGTAAGCAGCACATCCAGTCTTCATGATCTTCTTGACTCGGATGAGAGTATCTCGCAGTTTGCCCCTGAGTAAATCCGTGAATAGTTTCATGAACTTCTGGGTCTCGGAACCAGCATCGACATCTGCTAACTCGCACAATTGCTCCCAGTGATGAACCAAGCGGACAAACGGCTTTTGAAACTTGATAGTTTCATCTCTGGAACCCCACTCAAGAGGATCAGCAATCTCTCGTAGAATATCCTGCAGAATGGGATTGTTGATCCAGATGGTCCGAACCTCCCAGGTATTTTCCTCGGTTGGGTAGCGACCACAGACGATAGCATAAGTATCGCGAATCCGTTTAGCCTTGAGGACTAGCTCTTCTTCCTCGAGTTCAGGGCTCTTATCGGGGATCTCGTCGAGCCATTTGACCAACTGGCCAGATTTGTCGAATTCGGCAAAGGCATCTCTGACTTCGCAGATATGTCCAATTTCGCCAACTTGAACTAGATATTGTGGTTAGCCATCACTAGTATTGGACAATCTAAGGGAAATAAATAAGATACCTTCGCTGTCCTCACTGTCGGAGTCTTTGACCGAACAAGGACCATCATTCCAGCCCGTCGGATTCCCCGAGGACGACATGGTTAGGCAGTTGGAAGATGGCGAGATAATATTGAGCAAGAATCGATGAAAATTATTGGAGTTGAAGAGTTGTGTGGCTTTAAAAGAACAGAGAAGAAAACGGAACGAAGTCAGGGGTTTTAAGGCACAGAAGAGCCTGCAGTTGCGAGCAGTGTCGCTTGTGTGTGTCTGGTTCGTGAATCACTGCGGGCATTACCTAATAGGCACCCGGTTTCTTTTGGTTTTTTTATTTGCTTGAATTCTAAACAGATAAACTTGGAAAGGTTTGTCCCGAGCTCTCAAGAGTATGGCTGAATGGTTCCTGCAAGTGTGTGTGATGATGGCAAAGGTCAACTTCACCAAATATACCTGGGCATGGAGGAAACAGGCAAACATCTGAGGTCTTGAAGCATAACATATAAATGGTTTCAACTAATTAACAGAGATTCAAGACGACTGTAGGAGTTCCTATGAAATAGGCTCTGGATAGTTTGTGAACATCAAGCAATAGCGATTCTATAGGTATTTCACTGCCCTTTACAAACACTCGGGCCTTGTTTGATGGTATTGTCTAGGATATTTATGCATTATTAAACAGACTGTTTTATCAGACTTTGGCAACTGGTGACTCAAATCACAAGAATGGTCCCGGAGGGATTGTCAAACAAGAGGCAAACCGCATGACAAAAGCTCAACTGCATGACTTTGTGTAACAAAGCCGCTTAGCTTAGAAGAAGACGATAACAGATCAAATCTGGCCCCAAAGATCTCTTTACGCTTTGCCACGCCGTGGATGAGTTGCTTTGGCTTAGACTTACACCACGGTGGTCCGCATCCTGAATACAAGGTGACATCTGTTTGCCTGTGAGTACCACAAAAGGGATTATCCTCCGATCTGGTACAACGAGTCAGCATGACTTGGGCTAATGGTATGAATACAGTTTGCAGACGCAAATACTTTTGCAGTAAGCTTGACCTTGATGCTTACAAGTCGAGTCAACCTGTTGCCACTCCACCCCACCGCTTCAGCTATATCAGTCATACGCCGATCCAACAAGTGGAGTATCACAGCATGATGATCCCATGGAATCCGTATAAACCAATTATATCTTTCAAAGTAGCACAAATTGAGACTAGTCAAAGAATCATCCTGGCATTATGATCTAATTTGATCGTTAAAGTCGAGCCTTGTGGACTTCAATGTGAGACGAAGATAATAGACAAAACCAAGTGGATGCGAGGCACTACCAAGTTGGGGATGGAAGCAAATATCTATTGGCTTGTCCAAAAGATCTGCTGCTAGTCCTTACTTTGGTCGCTACTGTCAGGTCTTTCGGGTATTTCCTTCTTGGTCTCGCCGGCGGACGCTTTTCCGTCTTAGGCTGCTGCATATAATAGTAGTACCTGAGCTGACACTATTTAAGTGACCGCTCTCATGCTTCATCTCGCAACAAAACATCATCTCAACGACTATTACATTTTATTCTGCACTAAAATGACGCGCCGCAAAGAATCAGAAATCATAGACGATCTCCGCCAGACTGAGAGTGCCATCAAGAGAAAGCTCACTATTCGCCAATTCACAAAAGCCCTACGACGTGAAGACCGCTTCCAGCAAGCATGGGATGCTGTGGGAGGAGCTTCAGGACTGGCCCGTCTGATGGCCGAGTTCAGCATCCGAGACGTGCGTGATATGTGCAAGCGTCTGGGATCGACCGCTTCAGCTGAGAAGGCACAGCCCCAAAGGCGCGCTGCTCTTGGAGAGTTGGTCACGATACTCTACGAGGGGCGAGAAGATGACAGACCTCTCACTAGCTTCTATCAATACATAATTCCAGCCTGTAACCTTGAGCTGGTAAACAGGTACGAGAAGGATAGGAAGATTGAGTGGACGGCGCCACAGAACAAACGTCTCTTTCTAGGCCATCGAGAGCAACACGAGGATAAATTCCTCACTGAGATCTTCTGCAAGGACAAAGATATCAAGTTCTATCAGCATAGGAGACTCTTTCGCGGCAACATCGCTTTTTGCGAGAGGGTATTGACGACACTCCTCGCAAAAGAGGGTAAGGTTCATGTCCCATATGATTTGATAGATGAAGTGGCTATGCCAGTTCTCAAGCGCCTCCTCAAGAGCAGATACGACGACGAGAGGCGCATTAAATATCTCAGCCTCGTACTCGAATGTATCCAAAAACACGGAGAGATTTCCGGGCAGCTTGTTCTAAGACAAGGTGGCTTGCTTCAGTACACTGTCGATCGGTGGGCCAAGGCTGCCGATGGTAGTGAAAGCAAGAGACAGTATCAAGCTCGTTTGGTACAGGCGATCCAGCTATTGCCGAGCGAGAAACCACCCATCGACTTAGAAAGAATACGTCAAACTCTGTGGGTTTCTTGGGAGCTAGATATCGATGGCAGATATGACTTATTTCGCCTCTTCATCCAGCATCACACAAACTATAAAATCGACATCGAGAGCGACTCGGAACAAGACCTGGCCAGACTCAAGGATCTTCCTGAAAGAGCCTGGCCTTCAGATCTGTTCTTCATCATCAATTACAAGAAGTCACTACAGCTTTTTGAGAAGCTAGAAAGCCTATTTCCCAAGAACAACTTCGTCCAAGTTGCGAATCGGGCTGGAACAATACTCAATCAGTCGCAAGGACATATCAAACACAGCGGCTTCGGAGACGTCGAAATCGTAAGGGCGTTGCTGATCCGCAAATCGAACACACAAGATGAGCACCAGGGATGGCTTGGTCGTGCCATTGGCCTCGTAAATGAACGGAAAATGAACGCTCAACAGGCTCGCGAGGCTGTCGAGCGCGCATATTGGGCTAGAGCTGCCTTGAATCTCTGTATCGCTATTGGAGACCTACAGACTTTGAACGACACTATTATCTGGTCCCGGCGTTTCATCAAGGACTCGCTCACAAGCCATGGTTTGTTTAGTGTGAAAGTCTTCATGACGAAGGAGATTGAAGAAGTTCTGGGTGCCATGCCAGATGAACGTGTCAGCTCACCTGAAGCTATTGTGTCATTCACATCAGCCCTGCGCAAGAAAGACATCAAGTTTGCAAACCAGGTTCTCATCAATATTGTTGAGACTGTAACGCTCGCAGTCGGAGAACCTGGATTTAAAGCCCAGAATTGGACCTGGCTGTTCAACCTCGTCATGGTTGTAACAGGCCAACGTATGAGCAGATTGGAAATGTTCTTCAAGAACCTTGCAAAATGCTCAACGGCCGATCGTGAAAAGTGTGAAAGGGACATGATGGAGATCGTCTGGAAGCCAACAACGGATTTACTCATTGAAGCCGGAGCTATAGTTCGAAATCCGGCTTTGTCGACAGCACACGGCGGTTCGCTTTTCGACTCTCTTACCACTTCATCCAATCGCGAGTCTGTCAAGGGTAGCTACGTATATCGTTCACTTTCAAGGACATCTCTGTCGCCTCCTTTACTTGCAGAGCTGGCACGCTTCCTTATCGATAGGACAAGGGAACGACTGGGATCCGAAGCCATAAGTGCCCAGATGCACGATATCGTCTTCGTCATTGAGCGTCTGGCTTCTAGCGATCAGCCTTCACTAGCATGTCCCTTCATTCGTGACTTGGTTCTGGACAGTGAAGGCGCCAAAGAAAACTCGTCTTGGCACCGCCATCTTCTCAGCGTTGGCTTCCTCTCTGTGCTTCCAGCCAAGCCAGCAAAGGAAATGTTACACACAATGGCCAGTGCGATAAAGGAGAAGATGCGAGAACAAAATCAGAACACGGACGCTAAAGAACAGGCAGAAAGATCCAAGGAAACCACTGAGGGGGACGCATCAGCAGGTCCCAGGCCCTCTCAGGGGCCATCCATCAAGGTTACTACCGTCAAGATGCTCGCCCAGATCTTGCAGTACAACTTGTTCATGGATCCGTATTCAGCATGTGCAATTCTTGTTGGTCTCCTTGCGGAAGCACGACACATCGATATCCGAATCACCATCACCAACAGTCTCTTTGCAATCTTGGAGGAACCTACTTGCCCACCAAGTCTACGGAAACGCATCCTTGACGCACTTGGGGACTATATTGTTCCAGCAGCCGCACAGCTCAATGAGAGACGCGGGCTGACTGAAGCTGATTGGGTTGCTGCTTCAGCCCAGGAGGCTCCACTGCCTGAGATTGGCGATGAAACTCCCCTTCTCCAGCTCTTGATCTTGAAGGTTAGGGGACAAAGTTTGAGCGAAGAAGATAAAAAGAGGCTCGCATCACTCGTTATGGGCGCAGTTGAGAAATCTGCTGACAACAACACGCGCTGGATGAAACTCTTCTTGAGTAAAAACAACTTCTCTCTCGAGGAAGAGATTCCCCATCTCCCTGTTCATCTCACTACAGTATCTGCTCTTTATGGACAACTCCAACCCTACACACCTGTATCAGTCTTCCAAATGGTTCGCTCCGCCGCTCTCATCAATGTTGATCCCAGCCCTGGCATACAACGCATCACAAAGGCCATCCAAGAGGACCGGGATCTCGTCAACTCAAAGGCAGGCAGGCATTGGCTTTCGCAGTTTTCCAACCCCGGACGTGATTCGTTCAAGTTTGGAATCATGCTGTCTGCGGCCATGGTACAGCAGAGCGCTGCCGACCGAGAGCCCAAGCTGGCTGAAAATGGAGTGTCTTTGGAGATGCTTCAGTCGTTCGTGATCGAGTACATTGAGAGGCTGCTCAAGATTGGACAAGCCGACATGGTGATGACACTTGTCATGAGGCTTAGTGGCGCACGGTTTAAGGATCGACAAAACTGGAACGACTGGATGGAAAACTCTGTGCCCGTTATCAAAAAGATAATCTCCAAGACAGAGGAAGTTCAAGAAAGTATCCGCAGTAAGGAAACAGAGCCTCGCAGGCTGCCCAGCGTGTTTCAGATGAAACTAAAAACGATACCTGTGCCCTTGTCCGATGGAACATATGAAGAAAATAAGGCATTCACAGAAGAGCTTTACAAGCTCATCGGGGACCTCGGAAGCCGCC